ACAATGCAAACAAGATAGTAGGGATGGCATTTGCATCATCTATACATAATAGCACAGGGAAGAATTAACATATAGCAATATATATATATAACTATTCAATCAGTATTGAGTTTAGTGTATCCAGTTTTTGTCTGTTAACATTCTAATACACTGTGTGCTTGTTTGCAACTTTTGTGAAGGATTGATATTAGCCATCCCTACATTTACTTCATTTTTGAAAAGTTTTTATTTACTTGTTTAGTGTAATTTGCAAAGGAAAATGAAAAAATGGGCAAATTTATGTTTCTATGCAGCACCAAATGATCTTGCTAATGAACAACACATCAATTTGTTTAGAATTTTTTTGCCTGTCGCAAAGCATTGGTTGCTGTTTGCTAAGAAACTATCATACCTTGAAAATATAATTATTCATACTTTGTTTCTCTAGTGAGTTTCCTTTTCTTGTACTGATTTTATTGGTACAGTTTCTCAATCCCACCCTTTTATGATTTCACACTGTGTGATCTGAACAACTATTAATTTAAATACCATTGGTTAGAGCATATCTATAAAATAAATAGAGAGTGAATAAAGTGGCATGAGAAGTATTTTATGGTTTCATGGGAAATTGACAAGACCCTGTCACCTTCAAGATTTAAAAAAAAATCTAATGACAAATTCAAAAGACTTCAGAACAAAACACAGATCTAGGAATTTTTAGCCGCAGCATAGCGGCTCATAGAATGGCCCCCGAGTTTTTTTTTTCAAGTACATACTTTTAGCTCATAGCTCCAACTCTTGACTGATTTGAAGTCTAATATTATATTATAGTTTCATTAGAAGTTCTTTTATGAAAGTTTTTAATGTTAAACTATACTTGTTTGAAAGCTACCAAGATTTTCTATGACATGACATTTGGTAAGCTTAGTTAGATATAGCAAGTATGGCAAAATATTTTGCCAACTCAGTTCCTTGTTTATTGAATATTGTTAAGTTTGTTTTATTTAAGCAAGGTACATAAATAAAATGAATTATCTATTGAAAAGAAACTATTTATTAGGTATAATTTTATCTCTGTCAAGAATATTCTTATTCAGCCAAGGTCACCAGTAAATCTTTCTCAGCTTATTCTGTGTTTTTTGTTACTTATAGCTGGAAGTATCAAGTACTGCAATTGTAAAAATAAAGTATCAAAAGAAATACAGTATTGAAAATCATTCAAGTTGAAATTGACTGGACATATTAAATGGAACTTCCTGCTTAACAAAAAATTTAATTCTAAGACAAAATGGAGTACTTTAAACTTTTTTTAAAACGGTGTCTCACAATAGAATCTTGGAGATTTCACAGCATAACTAATGATAGAAAAACCAAATAAAATTATATGAACTTTTTTAAAGCCTAAACTAAATACTATTTAGCATGTTTATTCTAATTGGTGCAACTTCCTTTCATACTGATTGGATGAAGTATATGCACTATAGAATCTAATTTTGCTCCACAGGCTCCATGAAGTCTAATTGGGTCACTGTTTGTTCCAAGTTTCATATACTTTATTTGGTTAAATATTTCCACTGTGAAAAGGGAAAAACTCAAGGGATATTAATGATACCCCTCTGATACAGAAAGGGTTAAAATATTCCATAAAGAATTGTTATAATCCTTAAACCTTTCATATTGGATATATCACAAGATTCTTTTATTCTTTTTAATCATTCACTTTTAAAATAGATATGGGAATAGTATACCTAACTTAGAATTTCTTATTGAAATTGTAAGCAAGCTTTACTGAAACTTGAAGAGTTTTCTTGCAGTTTAAAAAATGTATAAGCATCAACATGAGTTGATAATTTATTTTTGGTGCAGTAATAAATATAAATTAGTGATATTAATTTTATCTCAATTGGAATCATTAACATACTGTGATTACTGAGGGAACAGGCAGTCATTTTGCTGCTGTTAAATTAACTTGCTGCTAATGTGAACAGATCCTCCTATGTGTACAATTTACTGAGACTTTACACCAGTTATAAATGCTGCCATACAGTTAATTATTAATTTAATGATGTAATTTATTTAGTTTATTCATTTATTTATTTCCACTATCAAACACAGTGTTATTAATTGTTGAAAACAATTTGAACTTGGATTTACTTGTAAAATACCACACATCTCCAGATTTGCTCATTCTAGTGTTTATAGACTGATGCCATTTCAACCTCTTGGTTAGGTTACACCATCTTGGCAGTGATTTTTGAGCAGCTACACATCCATTGAAAACACTTGATACCAATGTATACCTTACTGTTCTTGAGGTAACATTCACACCTCTATTTACAGTATGTTCATTGATAAGGTTTATACTCAAATGGCCCCTATCTCATAAACAGTATACTTAACATCACTTTTTAAAAGTTTGGGTTTTCTACCTTGAACACTTCTATTATTAACATTGTCAGTTTCTTCAGAGTTTTACACATAGTTCATACTGAAACCTGAATACTTGTTGCATGTTTTGCACATGGAGTATCCTTAACCAACCAAAACTTTGATTTCTACATGCTTATCATGTGGAATTTCAGTTCTGGTAATCATGACTAAATTCACACTACTAGTAGTCATAGTATGACTACTTGCATGTATCACTTTCTGATGACAACCAGTCACATTGTAAACTATCAAGATGTGACTTTACTCTGGTGCAGTTCATTTTCACACATTCCTATATTTGTATTTTAAAACCTTTTTCAATACTGTAAGGATATTAAATGAACTTTTTATTATGTACCAGCTAATGTAAGATTTTCTTTTTCAAATATTTATTGTCCTAGTCTGAGAAATTGGCTGTAATTCTTGTCTGGAATATTACTCATAATTACAGGTTTATGGACCATTTGTCTGTGTATAGTGTAGTTCACTTCTCACATTACATCCATCTAGAGACAATCTTGGAGAGACCAGAAGTGTTAGATACATGTTTTGATTTTCTACCCCACCTATCACACCCTATGTCATGTTTTTGCATGTACTATTCCATGACAATACTACTCATGATCAGCATTTCAAGTGCATTTTACTAAATATATTTGAATTATACATGAACTTCTATATTTATAAATGTAGTAGTATGGAAATGGTAGCCCTAATTGCAATGAGTTTATAAAGTATTGTAATCAAGTGTTTCATACATACATCTAAAATATTTTAGGTATACAGTAAATATACATTGATTGCTCAATTTATAAAAGCAAAATGAAATATAAATACTAAAAAATAGTTTTTAAAAAGTATTATTGTAATTTTTTTCATTAGTCTGATAGTATTTAGAAAATGTGTCAAGTTTCAAATGCACATATGTACACATTTTTAAGATAAATATCGCTTTTTGTAGAGCACTGTCAGGTTGATATAAAATACTGACACAGTTATGAAGTGTTAAAAGCAGCTATTTTTCCATCAATCATAAAATTAGAAAAAAGTACCAACAGTCCCTTGAATATGTACATTTGGTTGTATTGTATCTTGTGATACAAATTGGGTAAGAATCAAATAGCATATGATAGTAAGATTGAAGTTACAGTGCAAACTAATTTAGATGCTTTGCAAGTAACAAAATGAAATAAAATTTGGTATGTTATAAACCACACAAAATAATGAAAGTGAGCTGTAAGCATAATTTGAGCTTTGTTGTAAAATTGAACCAACGGTGGAAGATATTGGCAATCTGACATATTTATCTTTTGGTGTAAATTATAAAAAACAAAAACATTTTAATTTAATTGCAAGCTGCTGTGTTTTTTGTAATAAGTTAATATTTCATCATTACACACTACTGTTAAAACATAATTAAGTGCAAAATGCTGTAACAATGACTGTTATGATAAAATACTAGCTTTTTTTCTGTGTTCTTTGACAATAAGGTGATAAAAGAGCATGTAATTGTAAACAGCAGGATGTCATACAGAAATAAAGTTGTAATTTACTTTTTTTAATTTAACATTTTGACATTTTAAATAGCAATTTGACGAAGATATTTTCTTCTTGATTACTTCATTTCAGAAAAAAGTGATTCCCACGTTTTTTATTTTTAGGAATTGACAGTGTATTGATCAATTTCTATTTATTATAGATTATGTTGACTCATTGTTTATCTGTTTGAATGAAATAACTACATTTTAAAAAAAAATTTCTCCAGATATCTGAACTTCAGCAGTTTAAGTCCAACTTGCTTACTGAAACAAAAGAGTTGAAAACGCAGCTAAATATATCCAGTAAAGAATTAGGCAAAGCTGTAGAAGAAAAACAGGCTGTTAAGGTTTGTGGAGAATCTTTGTTATTTACCTTTTTATAAACTGTAACATGTTTGCTATTCATTTCTGTTGTAACTGTGCCATGTATTTCCTTTCAATAAGTTAAAAACTTAAAATTGTTATTTTAAACAGGACAAACTGGAGAATCAGCTTAAAGATGTGCCATGTATTTCCTTTCAATAAGTTGAAAAACTTAAAATTGTTATTTTAAACAGGACAAACTGGAGAATCAGCTTAAAGAACTCAAGTTAAAAACTGATAAAGATTTCAGTGTTTTAACCCTGGAAAAGAAAGAACTCGAGTCAGGCTTACTAAATTCTCAGGTATGTTACAGCATAAAACATTTTCATTTCATATTGAAATTTTAAGAGATTTAGATTAACCTGAGGTTTCCTTGCCAAACAGTGAGTAATGACTGTACAAGTCTGTACAAAGTTTTGTTACTTTCCAGAGTAATAGTTTTTTTTAGTAAATTTATTATGTTTGTTGCAATACAAATCATTTTATGCTACTGAGTATTTTCTGAGTGTGACTTTTGTATATAGTAGATATATACTTTTGAAATTATGAATATAAAAAGGATTTATGAATTATGCTTAATAATGTACTTTGGCAACTGCATAAAACTTAATGGATATTTGAAATGTTTTTTAAAGCAATTTTTTTTTCTTATGTAAATATAAAAGTTTATGTTAGGCAGCTGTAGTCCTATTTAACAGTGAAATTGTGCTGTTTGTTTCTGTAGGTGTAGATAAAATGTGATTATCTTTTTTTGTTTGTAGAATATTTTGACAATAATTGTAAATGTAGTGTTCAACTGTTTCTCAGTATAGAAATTCATTACTCAATATGGTCAATTGTCTTTTTACATTCAACTCAGGATTTGACTTGTTCATTATGTTTCTACTACTTGTGTTTAACTGCAATTAACTCAAAGATTGAGCTAGTTACTGTTAAAGTATCAAGATCAAAACTCGCACAGAGGTGTCTTTAATATTGTTGCAAACTTATTCTTATTGAAGGGTCTTCTCATAAACGTTTCTCACAATTACTGACGACATTTAAACTGACCATACTGACCAAACTTGTAACCACTTTTGTACTCATTATAGTTTCCATACTATACCTTTTAATACACTTGGTAGATTTTTAGTAAACCTTACAAGTACTTTGTATACAAAAAATCAGATTTTTTAATGAAATGTTTTTACTAAAGGTTTGTCCATGAATATAGATATTATTTCTATATAATAGTCCAAGTGCTAAGTGATTTTCATGTTAAGATTAAAAATACTTCATCTCAAATCTTATTTGTATAATCTCTAAAACCTCCTAAATAAATGTCAAACGTTTTTTATTCAGTAAAACTTTATATTTTATGTTATTTTCTCTACCTTAACTTTATACAAGATTGGTCAATTTGACTGACCTTGTAATTACCAGAAAAAAAAAAACAAATCAAAATAAATCTAAATTACCCTTTTTTCTTTCTAGAATAACTTCAAATTGTAACATGAAACTACATTTGTTTATCCTAACTAGCTTTAAGCTCATAACAGTATACATCTATTTATGCCTAAATGTTATTGTGTTATTGCTCCTTGAACCCTGTTTAATTACTATTCCTACCATCATAAGTTGTAAATCATTTGGCGAATGTGTAGCTCATGTTATGCTATCCAAATACATTACGCATGAGCTACTTATGAGTGTACCTATTGAAAAAATTATATTATTTATTTTACCTAATCTAACCTTAGTTAACATAAAAGTTTCCTATTTTTACATTTTTAGTTACTTTTATAATAATAAATAAAGAATACACAGGAAAAACAAGAAAAAAGTACTTACCTGGGTCATCGTCTTTTTTTTTATTTTTTTATTTCCTGTTGACTGTCAATGACACATAATCCTACTTTTTATATTAATGGTAGTACTACATTAAATTGCTTTTTATTCAGTTAAATGATACACCAAAGAACACAAAATAATTATGTGTGAAAAGCAGACAATGTTCCATAACTATCACAGTTTTTCTGGCTTTCTAACTGTGTGACAAGAGCCGTTAGAAATTCAGCTGAGCTTGTTAATGTATTTCCAGCAGGAAGAGAAACTGACAGTATTATAATATGTCATTTGATAGATGAAAACGTTGGCTTGTTATTGGTTATAAATATTATAGTATTGAATGTCGGAGGGAACTATTGGCTATTTCTGAAAGAGAGGATGTAACAGGTGAGCATGACAGAAGGGGTCTGATATTCTATTTAGTGGCTCTGTAATCGAAAATTGAAGGCTATAAAAAATTTCCATTGCCTGAGCAATGACAATATTATAATATGTAATTTATGATAAATTTCATACTTCTTGAAAGTGTAATAAATTAATTAGAGAAGAGAGGTTACCCAAAGAGCAAATGTCACAATTCTCACACTAGATTTTTTCAATTTTGCCTTATAAAAGTAAGAACTTAAAACTTGTGTACCATATTGGTCCAATTATAAGGTGATGTGTTTTGATTAATAATTAGGCTGTAGAATTCATAGTTGCCTTATAAGTGTGGCCAACCTCAGGCCCCTTTCCTTTACTTTAGCCTGTCACATTCCTGGATGTCCAGATAGTATCCATCTATACATTCATGTCAGTAATAAGTTTATGGACTTATATTGCTATAATCCTGGTTCAGTTCCCCATGATGGACAGAACATAGATAACCCATTGTGTAGCTTTGTGCTAAAAAACAAATTCTTTCTCTCACCAGAACACATTTGTGTTCCAGTTTTGTATATATAGCTCTGTGTCTGCCTGTTTTTAGCTGTAATGTTGGACTTCGATTAAATACGTTTTATAATAATTATATGTGTGTGTGTGTGTGTTTAAATGACATAATTACCTTTAAATATTTCCTACTTTAATTTAATTTAAATTCCAGACTAAGTACCAATTTTGGTTGAATGTGGGTTAAATGACATAATCTCTCATAACCATGTTACTACAGAATTTTGTTGTACATTAGTGTCAACCACACTAGACTTCTTATGAGTTTGATAAAAGGAATAGAATCATTATTGTTATAATTCTCCCATTGGATTTTTTTATTCTTGAAATATGTATTTTTGAAGTAGAATCCTCTACACTTTTCCCCCTTTCATTTATCAATTAAGGGATCAAGTATGTTTTGGGAAAGAAATGGCTTAGAGCTCAGTGTTTTTATTTATGAGTGTAAATATTTTTCACAAATTAATTTCACCACTAACTGTATTTTATCACCAAAGACTGGACATTTAGCTTCAAAATTGGATTTGGTGAACAAAAATATGTGCACTAAATATAAGCTAACTAATTTAGAGTTAAAATATTTAATATCTATATTTTGTCAAACCAGAGTGTATAAACTTTAGTTTGAGATTATTTATTATCATCATTTATTTTTAATGTTTAGGAGAAAGTACAGCAGCTCGAAGAATTCAAACAGAGGATTCAGCAAGAGGTAACTTTTTTTTTAATTTGAGTAAACCAAGTAGCTTTAATAATTAGAAATACTATAAAAGTTGCAAAAAGTACTTAAAATAAAATAGAACACTCACTAAAAGCTGTCCCATAATGTGTTGATTAGAATGAATTATTTATTTTTTAAGTTTAAAATCCAAGTATACAGCAGAAAAACTGTCTATAATGTAAATCACTAGAATTACAATAACTTGCTAAATACTTTTGATAATTGTTTTATCTTTTTAGCTTTTCACCAAAAACGTTTTTGTTAATTTGTTAATTGTTTCTGACTTGTTATTGCATATTTATTTTTCCTTATGAGTTAACACTAGAACAGCTAGGGTTTCGCTCGTACCTAGAACCACCATACTGCCATCATTTTGACTGCTACATATTACAACGTCAGTATTAAAATGAAGGACAAATTATTGAATACAACTCAAATGTTTTGTTTTGGAACATCAACTCAAATGTATTTACAGCCAAAACACTGTATTAAAATGAACAATTGTGAAAAAAAAATACTTCAATAGTTTAGATTCTGTAATAAAATAAACATATCAAAAGAAATAAGTTAGTGAGCAGGTATAAACAGCTATATGATGGTAGAAAAACTGAAGAAAATTACATAAACTAGCCTAAGTGGCACAATCCATGCAACAAAATGCTTTTTAACTTTCACTGTGCATTTACCATGCACAAAAGTATTTCACACAGGGCATATCTACCTGCAGTTCTGTTTTTATTGCATTTAGTTACCCAGCATTGTTTTCTTTTATGACTTTCACTGGATTCAGGCCAAGATGCTTGGTGCTTTACAGTTTTCTCAAACATGTTTTATTGTTCCATCTATCCCAATCTCCTATATGCCAGCTCATGCTGGTGATGCAGCTGGAATTGCTGTGGTTAGTACTGTACCGGGTGAAGTAGCTGACACTTGCAGCTGCTGCAGAAGATGATACAGGTAAAGCAGCTGGCACTGCAAAGGACTGTTCAGAACTGCTGCTTCTGCTATGTCCTCTTCTGTATTTGTAGAGTTGTTTTGATAGTAGTGGCACTTTCACTTGCAGGACTGTCTGTTTCACAAATCCAGGATTCATTACACTCATGATCACTCACATTCATCTTCTGTGAGCCATTTTGGAATTTTTGAGTCTCTGTCAGTTTCTCTGTTACCATATATACTCAAATTGACAGACAAGTAGAAACCACATCTTGCAGGAATTGATAGAATCATAGGTAGACAGTGTTATTATATATTCAAATTGTAGACAAGCAGACGTGAATTCTTATGGGAATTGCAAGGATTGTAAGTAGGCTATGTTAAGATTTATTCACATCAGTTGACAAACAGACATCTGTTCTTTATGACTTCAAGGGCCAAGGGAGCTCAGTTGGAGATGGAAATAACATCAATACTGAAACTGCAGATTACCTCAATACAAAAAAAAAACGAATTGTTACAAGTAAAGGAAAGTTTTGTAAACAAATTGACAGGTTGTTGATGGTTTTAGGTAAAAGTGGTTATAACTTCTTAATTTTGCGATTATTCCTTTGAAACACTGTCAGGGTATTTAATACGTGGAAATAGAAAACGTCTGCACTGGACAACAGTGCATCTTTCATACATGCAAAGATATCTAAATGTTAAAAGTGAAAACCCTAAAATTGACAGCTATGGCAATTCTCGTATGAAAAACAACTTGGTTACTAATTGCTTTATCATTTCATTTTTTACAAATTTTTTTCACTGTGTGCAGTATTTTTATCTGGTAAAAATTTCCACCATGTTTTTGTGTGTCATAGAATGAAATACTAAGAAAAGAACTGGGTGATACTAAGCAGCTGGTAACCAAGCAACAGGAGCAGCTACAACAGGACAAAGACAAGGAAGAGGAACTTCAGCAACATATTAATAGGCAGCAGGAACAACTGCAGTTAATCCAAAATGCAGAGAAAGTACTCCAGCTTCAGGTTACTAGTCAAGAAAAAGAGTTAAAACAATTTAAGGATGCTGAGAAGGTTCTTCAGCAACAGGTTGCTAGGCAACAAGAAAATCTGGAACAAAATAAAACTACAGAGAGAGCTCTCCAGGCAGAAATTAACAAACTTGAAGCCAGATGCCAAGATTTAGAAAAGGAACTGACTAAGCTGTCTCACCAATCACAAGTTGACCTTAACAATCAACAAGAACAGCTAACAAAGCTGCAATCAGTACATGAGGTAAAGTGAATAGCATATGTTAAAGTGTGTTTTGCTTGATGTTATTAGAGTAGAAATTTTATGCAATATTTCAGTAGTTCTTTTACACAAATAGGAGTATAGTTCAAGTAGTTTCATGTGGTTAAGCTTGTGCAATATAAAATAAACTTAAATTTCATAAACTTATACTGTGGTTTCATCATGCATAAAGGTAATTAACTATGGAATATGTAACATAGTACACATTATGTTGCATTTTAGTTACACAGTTTGCCATCTTAACTGAAATACACAAAACTACACGTAGAAAATTGTTGTGTATTTTTATACAGTTAACTAAAACCAGTTGAATTAAGTTTTTATTATATATCTTTCTACCTGTTTTTCTGCTGTACTGTTTACATAATTTAATATAACAATCTCAAGAAAATTAACAGAATGCCAAGCTAAATATTGTGTTGCATACTTTTACTATTTAACAATTTGTCCCATCTATAACACTTAAATATAGTGTAGTTGACTATCCTACGAAAACTATTTCAGAACGTTATTTTTAATTATTAGTCACTGAAAAATCAACTCCTGGCTACCCAAGACCAGCTTCTGTTAAATGATCAAGTTAAATCTGAATTAGAGGCCCAAGTGAACACCATTCAATCTGAACTGGAAGAAAGTCGAAATAATGAAGCACAGGTCAATGCTGCTCTGGAAAACGTAACTGAGGTTAGTACAACCACCACATATTATGTATATCTGAAAAACATATATTAAAATTATCTGTGGATTTACTTGTGTTCAATGATCGTTTTGTTGTATAATTGGATACTTATTTAAGTAATGAAAAACATGGTGATAATACTAGTATATTTTCTCCTGTTTAATAGCTTATTCCAGGGTCTAATGATTTTGGTTTCAGATTTACTTGATTTGCTGAATTTCATTTAACTTGATAAGGCTTGCAGATTGCCAGATTTATTCCAAGCACATGAAAAAAAGATCCCATCAGATTATGTAGATGGTAGGATTTCTACCATACTAGGTGAATGCCCACCATATGATGTTAAATGCTGATGTTTTTTCTTCAGAATATTGTATCTAAATATATGTTTTATGAACATAGATTGAACCATGTGAAAAAAAAAACTGGTTCTCTAAGAAGTATTCCTACATGGTCAAATTTTGACCCTGCAATATACTAGTTGTTATGGCAAAAGAAAAGAATCTGACAGAGAAGGGCAAATGCACGAAGGTATAACTTTTCATAAAAAATGCATATAAAATTATTGACTAAATTTTTAAAAATTTCTTACCTATGGTTTAAAACATCAATGATAATGCATTGTATTGCCATCTGTTTTGTTGAAAAGATATTTGTTTTGATTGATGCAGACACACTAGTGTTTATATGTAATATGATATGATCTGTAAATTAATCTGTAATGGTATTAATAACACAGGTTTACAGATTTTATTCTGCATAAAAATTGTTTTGGTTTTAATAACAGATTTTGCATAATTCAGCTAAACAGATTTTGAAAATAATATATATTTTTTTTATCATGTAAGGATTTTTTACTCTTACTTAGATCAAATTATTATTTCGTTTACCACAATGAACATTTTTTATTATTATATTTGTTAACAAAAATACAAACAAACTGAAGAAAAGGGAAGAAAATTGATGTCAAATGAATATGCATCCTCATTCATCCTGATTTTTGGCAATCGATGTGTTCGAAGGAAAACGAAGTTTGATAAACAAGATTACAACACTTATGATATACAAC